CAAGCAGCAGTGAGAATTCTCTAGTTCTCTATTTTTTGTTAAGATGTCACATTGTTTACTCAAAATGGTCGTAGGAATGTTTATAAAATACTAACCACCATAACTGCAGAATCATTGCTGTTAGATTGTATAGTTAAAACTGAGAGTTCACCCAGTGAAAGAGTAAGTTTTGCAACATCGGTTACTTCAGAATTCACGTCCTTAAGTTTAGTTAAGAAGGAACAAGAAAGGGGTGCCAATCTCCACATTGAGCATCCTACGAAAGAATAAAAACTCAGTTAACAACTCTTAGAAAGATATTCTTGAATAGAAATTATAGGAGAATCAAATGATGGGACAATATTCATTTATCTGCCACACACTTGTTGGTAATGAACAAGTGTCTTGGGAGAATGCTAGACACAGTACAGCAGAAATCGGTATTGCACAGACTCACTCTAATGAACTGAACTTAAACGTAGAATAAACGCCTGACTGTTCTCTAAGCGAAAACTCATTGGCTGGCCTGCCCACTAGCACAGATGCAACATTACTACACACTTATTAGTCTGCACTCCTATGTGACCTACATTTATATTTCTAGTCTCTTCTTTGGCTATCTTTCCTTAATATCTGGTCTCTTATTCCTCAAAAGTACTAAGATTCTGATGTAAAATACTTTCATAAACACAAAATAGCCACTTCATCAAATGAGAACGTTTGACGATGTGGTTATTTTGCGTTTCTGGAAATATTAAGGAGAATTAGACAAAAAAGAGACTAGAAATACAAATGTAAGTCACTAAATGAACTGTTGTAAGTCGGGCACTACCTGTACTAAGTGTGAAGGTGTACTAAGTTGCATCTATGTAAGTGGGCAGCCAACGATTTTCTTAAAAATAAGTCTTATAAGATCAGTAATACAGCTACAGAGGAAGCATGGAATAAAAGAATTACACTGTTTACTTTGATTCCTATTATCTTCCCATATGAAACAAGTGGATCTTAGATTTCTTTATTTCTCCAATTCTCTCCAATTACAATCAGACCTGGCTTTATCAAATCTGTATTAAGTGGATCTTAGACATAGTACACTATATTTTCTGAGGGATCCTTGGTGTTCTCTCTAAGCTTGGCGGTTTTCTTGCAGATGTTTCATAACCAAACTAGGTAGCAGCATCAGTGCTCACATATAAGTGAATTGAATGTGAAGTACAGTACTGTAGTTTAGATAAGGCATTTCAATGTATAATAATTTTATGCCTTCTATAGCTGCTTATATAATTTGTAAAATACCATCATTTCACAAATCCCCATGATATACTATAGCAGATATTTAGTAGTCAATGAAGCCACTTTCGCCTAAATAGTCTGCTGAAATAAGGTTTTGCTGTACTTTCATTCCAGGTATTCAGTATTAAATGTGCCAATAAACTCCCTTTAAAGTGAATACGTTCAATAACTTAACATGCATTAAAGGATCTTGAAAAAAGATCAGCACTCACTGTCGTCCTTCTGCTGAACATGGATCACTTTTTGAAAACAGGAATTAGCTGCAGAATATGCTTCCAATGCCGCTGCTTTTTTTGCAATCTGTTTCTTTAACGATTCTGGCAAACCGCTCATTAAAAATTCCCGCCTTGCTTTGAACTCAGTGTGATCTTGCGAGTTTTCAGACTCATCTTCACTAAGGAAAATGACAACCAAAAATAACTAAGCTTCAGTACAGGGCAACTGGATGCTTTTTTGAGAAGAATCTGAAGAAGCTTACTAAGAATATTAAGTAAGATCTGTAAAAAAAAAGATTTTTTGAAAACAAAAATGACCTCCCCTGGCAACGCATAATTAAAAAGGAGTTTCAAATGTTCCCTGTTTGAAAGGCAAACATTGAGGTCAAGTAGACCATAGCTAGTCCTCAAGTTATAATTGCTCTCTTAGCGAACGTTCAAAGTTATAACGGTCTCCCCAAGGGGTATGACTGAAGTGATGGTCGGTCCCCCGCAGTCACGTGTTTGCATTTCAGGTACTTACGAATGCTCCTGCATTTACAGCTGTCTCCAGCATCTGCACTTGTCTGGAATGGTGTAGTAGTGTCTCCGGCTTGAGCAGGGGGTTCGACTAGAAGACTTCCAAGGCCCCTTCCAACTCTGTTATTCTATTACTTTCCTCCGTTATTCTGACCAGCCTGCTGCCTGACACCAGTTCTTCCTGAAATACTCTATCGGAACTGGTATTTGGAATCCTGTGGGCCTCTAGAGCTGGGAGACTTCAATCGCCATGCCTTGGGTGTAGAATATGGATAAGCTCAGGGTTTCATAAATTCCATGGGGTCGCCTCTGGTGTTCTAATTCAGAGGTCCTCAATCCCTAGTCCACAGCCCAGTGCCGGGCCATGGCCCCTTGGGAAACCAGGCTGGGCAAGTGGCAGGCGAGTGTGTGAAGTTCTCCCACCACCACCACCGATTCGTAGAGCCGGAAAAGTTATGGACCACTGTTCTAAATCTTAATACACTTTGGCAATTGCCTATTAAAAAAGATGTATCTTGAAATAGAGGGATCATCATTCAAAGATAGAGGACACTGCTCTTGGTCCGTTGTTACAGTCAGATCATTTTCTGGGCAATTTGCAGTTTGTCTTCTGCAAGAATGGGAGACCAATTCAGATAGAGGCCATGGGCTTACAGAACTTTTAGGGCTTTCAGAGGTGAATGGGGGGTGGGGGGTGGGCACTTCACTATGCACCTTATTCAATTCTTTAATATACAGACTACAAAGATATTGAATAAGATTGCCTGAATGACATCTCAGTAATAGTTGCTCCCAAGGGGCATCTTGGTTTATTAAGGACCTCTGGATGACGAAAGAATTAAAGATATACCAATAGAAGAGAATATATGTAATTTGGGGTTGAACCATGGAGTTCTTTGTACTCTCTGAACTTGGTTGCTGGCTTGCAGATATTTCATTACCCAACTAGGCAACACCATCAGTGTATACAGACATACATATATACATAACAACACATCCTTTTTCCAAGTTAAACATGATATACAAACATGCCTCTATCAAATGTCTTTCTGAGCACTAACTGAAGCTACACATTTTTGAATCAAGAGGCATCTGGCTAGACAAACAAATACTAGTGCAATTTTCAATTTAGTTATAAGTAGTTATATTATTATTCCACGTAGCTATAATGGACTGACCTGGATTTGACCATAATAATTGCTTCATCCATAGATTTTTTATGTTTTTTCCTAATTGCCAAAGACATTTTCTCCTTCCCTTTGAAGAAAACATATTGTTAAATTAGTATTAAATTATGGATAGGCAATACTTTAATCTTAATCTAGTAATGAAACAATGTAATAAGAGAAATAAAAATCTCTTTAATTTTTATGAATCTTTCCAGGCACAATTACACAATCTTACACAGTGACCAGGGCTCCTCTAATTTTTCTCTTTCTAAATATGGCCCAGGTTTTGTAAGATTTTGGTGATCTCAGCTGTAATGCCCTGCGGTCTTGCGCAGTAACCTTACACATTCTGATGCAAGACTGGTGAAATTTCCTGAGTCTTGGAGTTCTTGTGAATTCTACAATTTAAAAAAATAATAATTCTGTAGCTCTACAGGTGCCATCTAAGGCTGCTGCAGAAATCCTGGCTCCTGAGACCACATTTATATTTATAATGCGTTGCCTATGGCATTATTTGGATACATCAGGTAGCCTTTGCTTAATAACCATCCTTTTGTTCAGGGACTGTTCAAAGTTATGATGGCACTGGAGAAATGATCATTACGACAGGCCCTTGAAGCACCCTCAGTCATGTGATCAAAATTTGAGTGCTTGGCAACTGACCTGCTTTTAGGACAGTGGAATGTCCTCCAGCTGCACCCAACCTGTTTTTGCCGTATCTCTGCCCTTTTGGCTATCCTGCTCTCTGCCACCCCCATCTGACCTTCACTGTCTTCTGAGAAGGCATACCAGGCCAAGGCAGCTACTCGTTCTTTGTGATGCCTCATGAAACCACCACAAGGCCTCACAACACCTTATCAGTAGCAGGAGAAAGAAGATGGCAAATGTCAATTGGTGATGAGGGGTCGGCAGGGGCAGCTGAGTGCAAGGCAGCCAAAAGGCCCGCAGAGATGGGGATGAGGTAAGTGGGTGGCAGAGCCTCATTCACCGAAGAGAGCTCACCAGGCCTGACTGGAGAGAAGGCAGTAGGACGGAACTGGCAATTCGTTTAGGACAGGAGAAGAGTGAGGTCCTCACCTAAGGACAGCAACTGGGACTACTGGAACTGCTCTTGTTCAATGGTACAGTGCAGTTTAGCCTAACGCCTGCTTCACTTAGCGGGGTAAATTCTGGATCCAATTATAGTAATTAAGCAAGGACTACCTATATATTTCAACTGTTTAGTTTAAGCATACAATGTTATGTCTCCTTAATGTATTAAGTACATAGACTTTAGGTCAGGGGTCTCCAATTCCCAGGCCATGGCCCATTTGGCAGCCAAACGTATGCGCAGCTCCATTTGCATGAGTGGTGGGCACTCACGCTTGTGCGGGAAGCTCCATTTGTGAGAGCGGTGAGCATGCCACTTGCCCCAACAGTCCACAAACCCAGAAAGGTTGGAGACCCCTGCTTTAGGTAATCAGAGATGGCTACATTGTTTCTACAGTTCTAGGAAACAAATAGTTATAGGCAGATATTCTTACAGTGTATCTCTCACTCTTAATTATCTTTATTTTATAGTGCAGAATTTAAGATATTCTTGTTCATTACTGCCTTTATATATTTCCCTTTCCAATTTTTGACAACCTAACTTCTCGTGTGAGAAATATTAGTGATAAAGAAGTCATTTATTAAGTATTAGCTTCCAGTGGATCAGGCTAACTTGACGAAACACTGCATATCAAAAGCTCTTCTCTGCCCTTCGTGGTTGTTCCTATCCCACAAAGCAAATTTATGGCTGTTATTTACCCAATTATAAAGAGACAGGATTTATGATCAAAGATCTCGGTTTGTTTCTATTGTAGCCATTTAACATACTGTAAATAAGGAGCATTGATTACCATTTGGCTTCTTAGTTGCCTTCACAAATTTGGTCTTTTTTCCCAATACATCGTTTACACTTTGGAGTTTTTTAGGATATTCTGTGTGGTCTGAAACAGTGGTAAGAGTCCGTGTGCCTGAATCCAGAACCTCCGAATTCTGCATAAAAACAAATAAATATTAAGAAATTAATATTGCTACTCAAAGACTAGAGGAATCTTTGATTGCCTGTTGGTGATGTGTGGGTGCATACTTCAACATCTTGCTCTCCCTTCCCCCCCCCCAATAATTTGTGGAAATTTCCTAACATTTAATGCATAGATTCTCTTGTAAATTAATATCCCTTTATATTTCATGCAATGTTAGTATGCCCCCATGGAGCTCAGGTCACATAATAGCTTCATTGGCAATAAATCTCTCCACAGTGCTTTACAGCCGTCTCTAAGCGGTTTACAGAGTCAGCATATTACCCCCCAACAATCTGGCTCATTTCACTGACTTCAGAAGGATGGAAGGCTAAGTAATCTTGAGCCCCGCCAGGATCAAACTCCTGGCAGTGACCAAAGTTAGCCTGCAATACTGCATTCTAACCACTGCGCCACCATGGCATATATAAATAAATGTGGCAAACCATTACAAGCATGGTTTATCATGAACATATTCCTTAATGTGGCTCAGTTTTATCATGTCCTCTTCAAGCAGTTCTAGGCGTAACTAATAGATGTTATCCCCATAACAAATCTACAGTAAACGAAAGGGGTGCTCTCTGGTTAAGAGGAATAAAGAAGTATCCTGCAGATGACACAGTATGTCCAAAACAAACAATGGACTGCTGGTTTCTAACTGCCACTTAAGGAAAGAAGCCACTAAGTAAGAGCATTCAAGAATAAGCTTAAATCTGAAACCTTTCTTACAAAACAAATAGCTTAATATGTGCTCTTCCTTCATCTCCTTATTTCCAATGTTATATTCAATTTTGAGTGCAAAAAGCTAAATAATCATCATGCTGGTAACATTAATGTCCTAAACCAGTGGTGGCGAACCTATGGCACGGGTGCCAGAGGTGGCACTCAGAGCCCTCTCTGTGGGCACGCGCGCCATCGCCCCAGTCCTAGGCCTTTAGCTGGGTTCTATAAAACCTTTTCGCTTTAGGCCTCCGCTGCCATGTGCAAAAAAAAAAAAAAGGTTCAATCAGTCAATTTCAACTTCTTGCGGGAAAAAAAAGGTCTTGCAAAGTTGGAATTGATTGACTGAACTTTTTAGTCCCACCCAGTCTGCCGTTACCACCGCAGCCATGCCCACCCAATGGGCCATGCCCACCCAACTGGCCACACCCAGCCAATGGGCCACACCCACCCAGCACTTGACGATACATAAGTGGGTTTTGGGTTGCAGTTTGGGCACTCAGTCTCTAAAAGGTTCGCCATCACTGTCCTAAACTGTAATTTATATTAATAGAATATCCAGTTTTTCTTTCTTCTTCTCTATGTTCAATACTCTAAGATACTTAAATAGAATATTACGAATATAAGAATCCTGTATTGAAATAATATATTGTATCAAGATTTACACTAACACAATAAATAAAAAATATGGCATGCTTTCATGTTATTGTGCTGTCCAAATATACCTATTATAACTTAGAAAACACTTGGGTTGGTTGTAAACTTTCTACTGCATGTTTTGCTATAATTAAACTTTTAAATGAATGTAAAACAAAATATGTAAAACAAAGCAAGTTTATTATTTGAAACTCAACAGGAAAGAATTATTTAAGTTGTTTAATTTCAACAGCAAAATTACATGAATCAGTGATCTCAATAGACTTACTTCTATTTTTTCTAAATGTTTCTTTTCAGCAAGAGCCCGTTGTCTAGAAGAACGTCTTAAAGATATATGGGACCCTTCTTCCACAGTTCTTGATATTCGATTATGCTGTACAGCCTTTGCTTTCTCAACCAATTTCTTTGCTTTGAAAATATTTCTAGAAGTCGAATTCATCTACCACAAACATGAAAAATAATTAATACCCGTGAGCAGAAATACATGCACCCTTTCCAAAGCATAAGTGTTTTTTCTTCCTATAAGAAACCTCTGAATATAATGAACTGTATTAATGCTACATATTAAGTCGATCTCTAATATGGTGTAAAACAGGAAAATAATTAGTTATAACAAATATGTACTGTACACTGCACATATATACACAAATTTCCAAGCATTCTACTGAAGGTGCCAGTATGAGCCAGTATACTCATTTGCAAAATCTCTAAGTGCAGCAAGATCAGTAAATGCCTCAAATTTGCTTTCATTACTCTGCCCATTCATTCTCTAAATATATTATTTGACCGCAAGATAATGCAGCTAATTCAAAATTTAAATTACATGATCATAAGAATGGCAACTCTAGCTTCAGTGTAAATATTTTCCATGCATTGAGAAAATAGGCCTGTGTTTATATTTTTCATGGGCTTAAGAGGCTTAATTTCCATACATCATTCAAAGATCATTTTCACACTTTAAATCCAGCTATCTAACCTTAATTTTTACAATGATGCCTCGAGGGTTACTTTCATTCAGATTTATCATACCTTTACATTCTGCTGCGTAAATCTGTCTGAAGTATTAATTCGGGTGAACTTCATTCTGTATAAACAAGAAAAAAAAAACACCCCACCCCATAATATTACACTTTTTAAAAAATACAACTTGGGTATGTTACAAAACCCTGATAAGTTTCTATTTCCAGACAAAATTCTGTAACATTCATTACTTTCACTCTTAAAATATGTCAAAATAACATTACCTTATTGGGCTGTTTGAATCAAAGGGCTCGGTTATCACTTCAGCTGTATACAAGTCATTTTTAAAGGATCGGTTTGTTTTAGGAGTAGAGGTCTGCAGAGGGGGAGCATCTGGTGGATTTTCAGTAACAGCCTGTGAAACCATGGCTTTTTCCGGTGTACTCTGGCTTCTTTTTTGCCGACAATGTCTTCTCAATCCCTTACTTTTTTGAGAAAATTCTCTTTCTTTCTTAGTTGGTGTTGTCCTATTAATTGGACCAGGAGCATTATTGTTCTGGTTATCATTACTATTGAAATCCTTCTCTTCTGCTTCCACTATGCCCTTCCGCTTTCTGGATTTATTTTTTACTCTGGTTCTACCACATTTTTCAGTAATGTCATGGGCAGTGCTACTACCATAAGCTATCAATGCATTATTTGGAGTGTTTTGGTTAGAGTGATCCTCACATTCTTCTCCTTCTAGTTTGTGGCTTGATGATTTTTCAACTTCTTTCTGCTTACTAGGTCCCCTTTTAGCTCCATTTTTTACTATCTCTGCTCCTGGCTGTCTAAAAGCTTTCATAAACTGGTATCGTTCTTCTGCAGTGCATTTCAATTTCACAGTCTCTGAAGCTGTACTTTCTAATACTGCCAGTTCTAATTCTTCTTCTGCAATCACCACATTTGACTTTCTTTTTTGAGTCACCTGTTCAATATACTCCATTTCTGAAGAAGCTGGACTCTTTTTAATTTTGGCTTTGCTTTTTGAGTTTACAAAAATAGAAGCAATTTTCTGGGACCGGAGAGATTTTGGAGGGACAGAATGAATTTGGGCAAGGACGGTCACTTTCTTAAGAGGCAAATGTTGAGTGCCTTGACAAACGTCTGTTTTATCAGAGGCAACAAAATCCTCAGATGTCTGTTTCCTTGGAATCTGTTCAAAGTCTTCTCCTTGGCTTTTTAAGAAGTCTTCAAATGATATGGTGACAGTATTGTCATTTAACTGTGGTGTCATCCGTGCATTAGTCTCAGGATCTGGAGTAAGTAGTAAACTTCTATTTTCTGATTCAGTGATGGATGCAATTTGTTTATTAGTTTCTTTACCTGAATCTTTTGCCTGTGTATCAGTGGTGGGATTTTCAAACAAATCCATTTCATTTTTAGGGTTCCTTCTTTTTAATTTTTTTGCATTACATTTTACTATATTTCCTTCTATTTTAGCTTTTCTTTTCTCATTCTTGTAACTAACTGCATTGAGAGAGCCTTCACTGCAAACATTTAATGTCTCTTCCCCATTTGTGAGGCTATTTAACGCAACATCATTGTGACTCATGAAACTAGCCTTACAGTTCTCTTCTAGTGTATTGGTTGTCTCTTTATCATTATCCTTATTCAATTCTACCAAAGGCTCAGGCTCAAGTGTTTTATCAGTTTTTAATTTATTATTTAAGTTATTCCGTTTTCCTCTCCACTTAAGTTTTGATGGAGGTCTTGAAGAATTTTCCAATGAGGCTGAGTTTGCTTTGCTTTCCTGCTCTAGTAGAGGTGAAGCAATATTCTCATTTATAGTTTTTTTAAAATAATCCATTATGTTATTAGACTTTGGTAGTGACAATACACTCTCAACATTTTTCCCCAATGGAGAAAAATAGCTGGTAATTGCTTTAATAGAAAGGTCGTCTTCCTTCCGTTTTGTACATGACTGTAAAGAAAGAGCATAGGAACAATAAAATGCAAATATCTTATCAAGGTGATATTCACTTTGGAATTATTTTTTAAAGATTCTCAGCATACCACTCACAAATACATGGCATTATTTTTAAATGTTGTGCAATGCTTTGGATTCACTACCAAAAAGATGTTTTAAAACATTTGGGGACTGCAAACATAACATCTTTCTGCAACTTAAAGCACACATGATTTATTTCAGACATGTCTTCTTGTTAACAAGCAACAAATTCAGGCTTTAATTTAGAGATCCTGACCTAGACCAACTTCCAGCTGAACTATTAATGCCAGTGTACAAAAATGAAGAAAAAGCTGATCAGACACATATAGTATAGGTACGGTAATCCTTGACTCATAACATTTGTTTAGCAATCAAAGTTACAGCAGCACCGAAAAAAGTGACTCACAACTGGTCCTCACACTTACTATTGTCACAGTATCCCCACAGTCTTGTGATCAAAATTTGGCCCAAAGGTGCTTTTTCAAGAGGCAACTGGACTTTGTTTTTCTTTGAAGACTTTTCGTTTCTCATCCAAGAAGCTTCTTCAGCTCTGACTGGATGGTGGGGAATGGAAGGATTTATATTCCTTGCAGACTGCAGGGAATATAAATCCTTCCATTCCCCACCATCCAGTCAGAGCTGAAGAAGCTTCTTGGATGAGAAGCGAAACATCTTCAAAGAAAAACAAGAAAGTCCAGTTCTCTCCTGAAAAAGCATCTTTGGGACAACCATACCTGGATGACCGAGAACCTCCACAGACATCTGATACCAATTGTTGTTGCAATAAATGTACTTATTTATCTTTTGTATTCCAGCAGATTGCTTTCCTAATTTTCTTTCCACCAGTCAAGCAGAACTAAGTAGCATGCACATCTGAAGAAAGGTATGGATGTGAGAGCGATCTGGCTGCAACATCTATCACCACATCCATGGCCAGAGTTGACTTAAAATAAAACCAATCAAATTGGCCAAAGATAAGAAAATGCCCATAAATAGGAAATACAAGGCTGTACTAGAAACATTATTAGGCATTGGATAAGTCTTAACACAATTTCTATAAAAACCTTTTTTTGAAGAAAACTTGACAACTGTAGTTAGTTTACTTAACTTCCTAGGGCATTTCTTGTCTGACACTAAATTCCTAAAAAAGGGACCGCCTTACTACGATCTTTGGATTCCACAGAGCCACCGATGGCCCTTCTTGAGCCCTCCTGGTTGGGAATTACAGTTCATTAGAAAGCTAGCAAAAACAGTAGTTTGACACCTCTTCTCTTCCCGACTTTGAAGCCCAAGCATCAACCGCCAAGGATCCTTGGTTTTGGGAGGGATCGCAAAACAAAGTGAGCCATATGAAATCAATATGCTAATGCAGGCAAAAGAGAATTTTATTTCCACCTTAAAATCCAGATTAATATACCAATATTGCATGCATATATTAAAGGGGAGGTCGAAGGTGTCAAAAGATTAGAGCCGGTTACTGGCGCCTATACAAAGAGATCTCTGCATCCCACCGCTTTCCCCTCCCGCTCGGGCGAGCAAAAACACAGGGACGCCGAAGAGAAATGCCTCCTCTCCCCTTGCTCTCGCGTCTCTCTCCTTAGCGCTTACCTGAGCAGCCCCGTCAGTCGGTGAAGCTGTCGCGGCCGCGAACACGGCCATCTTCCCTGCAAGAAAGCCGCCCTCGCCCCAGTCGTCTCCTATCCGCCATTCAGCGGGAAGAAGAACCCCATCGGAAATTCCCGCGCGAGAATACAATCGGGCAAACCAGAAAAGACCGCGCGAGAGGCGGGGAAATGGGAGGGATTTGGAGCGCAGTGACACTGGGGAGGGAGGGGCATGCGCTCCTAGGAAGCACGTGACAGGAGAGCCGGGTAGAGACCCGCTCGTTGCCGTGTTCTATGTCACGTGAGCCTCTAAGCCAATTAGAGGAAGGCTCCTAGTGTGTGTGTGTGGGTAAGGCTGGGGGAAGGTTTTGCTTTGTTTTCAAGGCACAAAGTGGTTAAAATCTCTTTTGAGTTGTGGAAAGGAGAGGTTGTGGGTGTAGGGGGAGGAAGGAAGAGGAAAGTGAATGAGGATGGATGCAAGGCGGGGACTGCCGAGCGTCCTCGAAAATATATTGAGTAGGATTACCTTTTTTGCTTGTGTACGTAAATGCATCATATCTGTACTATTTGTTGTTTAATTTAAAAAAAAATCAATAAAAATATTATTAAAAAAAAAATCTCTTTGGAGTTGAACTCGGCTCCTGGTGGCCGTGTAAGTATGGAATAGTGCAGCTCGGATTGTGACCTCACAGCATACAGTTTATCATTTTGGAATCGTCTTGGCTAGCTGAAAAAGCTATGCGTAGACTTGTGTTTACACTAATTGCTTTACAGTAATTATTGAAAGTTAGTGATTTATATTGTCGCTAGCATCATTCTCTATGGTAATATAACGGTATTGGCTCTGTAATGGGTGGGTGGTGCAAGTCCCTAGTGAGAAAGAGCAACTATCAAGTATTCCTTTAAAATTTAGTTTAAATAACTAAAAATAAAGTTTAAATAACTGACTCATGAAATAGCTTCTCCGAATGACGACCCTATTGTTTTAACACGTATCTGCCCATCTACCATGATTTGGCGTTTTTTAAAAGTCCTTTTTGATGCAATTCACTACATCGCTCCGGTTAAAATCAGTAAAGAAAACAGCTATGGATTATAGTCTTCATTCATTCTTCAGAATCGGGTAATTGGAATCCCGTGATAATTCCCAAAATGAAAATATTAAATACGAATTCGCAGCACGAGTGGAGAACCTCGGAGACTCCGCCCCTCTTCCTGTTCTGCCACGATTGAAATGCCCGGATGTTCTTCGCTTCCGGTTGTGAAGCTACTGCCAATAGTGGGCTCGGCCGAGCGGAGGCCTGCCACTCTCGCTGCCGACTGGCAGTGGGTTGTCGTCGGGGGAAATGGAGCTGGAGACGGAGGCGTTGTTGCAGGAAGCGCACGAGAGCATCGAGGCGGCGCGTACCTACTGCCGTGAGCTGCAGCAACGCCTAAAAGGACTGCACCTGGCTCGCCAGCAGGTAACGATGCGGGCGTGATTCCGCCGGCGCCCGTCTGGAGCGATGGGGGGTGTGGAGAGCGGATGTGCGGGGAACCTGAGGAATGTACGCTCTTCTGCAATGCATTGGTCTCCTCTAAGCTGGGAATAGCGGGCTCCCTGTTCAGTTTGCAAGCGCTGCGGCATTTAACTCGACCCGAGGGCAGCTTTAGACTCCCTCTGCAGAAAGATTGCCAGAATGGCACGGCGTTCACCCTTTAGCCGAGGTATAAAGCGTAGATTGCCTTGCCCCTTCCGTTCTGCTTCTTTACGAGCCAGTTTGCAGGGGGAACTTTGCTCGAGAGCTTATCTAAGTATTGCTTCTTTTCTCCGTGTATAGTAGTGGCTGCTTGACACAGAAAGGGAAATTCAGTATAATTTTAGAAAGCGAACTGCCGTCTGTTACAATTTGAAGCAAGTTTGGGTCCAGAGGAGTGGGCTGGGAATGCAGAAGCGTTATCTCATAAATAGATGAAGTAGTGCCTATTATGCTGGCAAGAAGTAATAGCTCCAATTTCCGTTGCCTCTTTTCTAAAATGGTAATATACTCTCGTTTTTATTTGTGGGCCGAAATGGGAACTTGCAAATGCTACGAGCCTTTTAGGTACGTTTGTGCAAAGGAGCATTGCAGAATGAATAATATGGAGGGATAATAATAAATGAAGCAGAAAATTCCAAGCAACACCAATCTCCATTGAAGTTGGCAGTAATGGAGCCCCTTGTTCTCTCTATAATTTATATTTGCTTTTATATTTTGAAATAAGTTACTTACACAGGTAAGTCCTCAACTGACAGCCATTCATTTAGTGATTGTTCAAAGTTACAACAGCACTGAAAAAAGTGACTTATCGTTTTCACACTTACCACTGTTACAGCATGGTCATGTGATCAAAATTTGGACTCTTGACAACTGGCTCATATTTATGAGGGTTATAGTGTCCTGTGTTCATATGATCACTTTTTGCAATCTTCTGACAAGCAAAGTCAATGAAGAAGCCATGTTCATTTAACAACCATGTTACTTAATTACTACATTCATTCACTTAACAACTATGGCAAGAAAGGTCGTAAAATGGGGCAATAATCACTTAACAAGTGGCTTGTTTAGGAAAGGAAATTTTGGGTTCAATTGTATGTGATTTCCAGGTGCAATTGATGCAGTTTATGAAGAGAAAAATGCAAATTGGTTAAAAATTCCATAGTTTGTATTAAGATGATTTCTCTATTAGGATTAACTCATACGGTATTACAAAATACTGTGTGCATACTTTCACTTTATGTATAGGTACACAAATATCAGACAATGCAGTAAACATTTTTTAAGTTTTCAAAACTTCTCACATCAATCAAGAGTTTCTCAGTCTCTCCTTTACAAGAAATTTGCATTCCCTTCATATATTTGTTTTACAATTTGATTTTCATTCATTTTGTCTGATCTTAAGGTGCTTTTTCATGTGGTATTCAATCCACATTCATTCAGCACCCTATCATTAATTCAATCTTACTCTTCTTGTTTTAGGGCAGACTTATTAAGCAACCCATACCCACGGCTTCCAATTTCCCCTGCCATAAAACAGAAGCATATAAAAGGCACTTTTGCTTTTGCTTTTTTAACATTTATTCTTTAGAACAGACCACATACATACCACTGCCTTTCTACCAACATTTCCATGTTTCCATACACAAATCATCTACCAGGAGTGATTTTGACTTTACATGTTTTTTATATTTTTGAGCATATTTTTGAATTATATAATTACTGTGTTTTCCTGAAAATAAGCCCTATCTCAAAAATAACTAGCTTGATTTTTACGCATGCGCCTAATATAAGCCCTATTCCCAAAATAAGCCCTAGTTAAGAACCTATGCCAGTGGTGGCAAACCTATGGCACGGGTACCAGAGGTGGCACTCAGAGCCCTCTCTGTGGGCACGCGCGCCGTCGCCCCAGTCCTAGGCCTTCAGCTGTGTTTTATAAAACCTTTTCACTTTAGGCCTCCACCGACGTATGCAAAAAAAAAAAAAAAAAAAAAAAGGTTCAATCAGTCAATTTCAACTTCTCGTGGGAAAAAAAAGATCTTGCAAAGTTGGAATTGATTGATTGAACTTTTTAGTCCCATCCAGTCTGCCGTTACCACTGCAGCCACACCCACCCAATTGGCCACACCCAGCCAATGGGCCACACCCACCTGGCACCCGACGATGCATAAGTGGGTTTTGGGTTGCAGTTTGGGCACTCGGACTCTAAAAGGTTCGCCATCACTGGCCTATGCAGCTGGCCGGCCGCCCACCCATTCCGTCTGGTTGTTCACGCTGCCACCTCCATGAGGTGAGGTGAGGCAGGTGGGAGAAAGTGTAGCTGCCCCATGCACCCTGCACCCGTTTACCTCGGGGCCCACGTAGCCAGACCTCTCACGCCCCAACACGGCCTCGTGGCGACGGCACCAACAGCCCCATCAAGCAGGAGTCCATGTGGCCACCGCCGGCCCACTTCTTTTGCGGCCACCACTTGCACGCGTTTCCCCCATCTTCTGTTTTGCTGGCAGAGGCCTTCAGGAAAGGCCTCTGCAGCTGAGAATGGAGCCCTGTGTTGATGCGCGCATCACCCTTGGCCTCCATTTTGCCAGCAGAGCACTTTTCTTGCAGGCCTCTGCCGGCAAAACGGAGGTCGGGCGATGCGTGCATCAACCCTGTTCTTGGCTGCAGAGGCCTTTCCTGAAGGCTTCTACCGACAAAACGGAGGCCGGGGGCGATGCGAGCAGCTGCAGAAGTGGGCCGGCAGCCACACAGGCTCCTACTAGACAGGGCTGTCAGTGCTGCTGTCGCGAGGTGAGACAGTGGGAAAAATAAGACATCCCCTGAAAATAAGCCCCAATGCCTTTTTGGGAGGCAAAAAAAATATAAGGCCGGGTCTTATTTTTGGGGAAACACGGTACATCTATAACTTCATTCTATTTTCACAATCAAACACAAACATTTTCAGTCTTCAGTATTAATGCCGAGATTCATACATTACAGATCAGACTCTATGACTCATGAATTTAACATTTGCTGTAGTTCTCAGTCAATAACATGGTATAATCAGGGCTTTTTTTCTCATAGAACGCCCAGAATGGAGTTCCGGCACCTTTTTTGGATGGAACCTTGTAGGGTAGGCAAGGCGGGTTGTATAACGTGTGTGAGTTCCGGCACCTTTTTTTTTTTTTAGAAAAAAGCACTGGGTATAGTCATGTTCAGAGCTACATACATATTCATACTTCTAGCCAAGATAGCTTTAATCACAAGCATTCCTTACATGTTATTTAAGACATTCATTAAACAGTCAAGAGGTATCATATATTTTTGTGTTACTCTATGTTTGGCTTTGAACCATGAAAATCTGTATCACCCTAAAGTCTGTTTACTCCATTCTTTGGTCAAATATTAAATATCCATGTAAGATGCCAGTCTCCATATTTTGATAATACAAACTAAAAGATATTAAAATTTATATATACAACTGGGAGGAAAACATCTTGCCCAGACACCCATACTTAAACCTACAGTTCTTACAAAGACAACTAGATGGGTTATTTTATATAGCATGATGGATGGATGCCTGTTTGGGGAGGGAAGCTAAAAAGTGGCTGGTACCTCAAGATAAATGAATATTTCCTTCTCTTCCTCTGCTTTGCGTCGTGGAGTTGGAAGATCCTCAAAATTAGTCCAATTGTCTGCTGCCTAAAGTATCTCCAATGTGACTGATGCTTCTGAATATCCTTATCATGGCTATTCAGCTTCATCTTAATTATCTCCAATGAAACAGAGCTTATTAGCTGTTCGGGTAATCTGTTCTGCCTATGGCTCTTATTGTTAGTTTCCTACCCCTAAAGTTTAACTGAATAGAATAGAATATCAGAGTTGGAAGGGACCTTGGAGGTCTTCTAGTCCAACCCCCTGCTCAAGCAGAAGCCTGCATTGATGGAGCACCCACAATTTCTGAAGACAAGCCGTTCCACTGATTGATTGTTTTCACTGTCAGGAAATTTTTCCTTAGTTCTAGGTTGGACCTCTCTTTGATTAGTTTCCATCTGTTGTTTCTTGTCTTGCCTTCGAGTGCTTTGGAAAATAGGTTACTCCCCCCCTTCTCTTTGTGGCAACTGAAATCTGCTTTCCTATAATTTTTATCCAGAGGTTTTTGTTTGACTCAGCTCTGTCGTCTGTGATGTCCTTCAGATATTTATAAATTGCTACAATATTCCCCCATTATCGTCTCATTTTATGAAATAAATATATTTAGCTATTTCCATTGTTTCCCTTAAAGCTTTTCCAGACTCTCAGCATCCTGGTGGTTTTACTTTGAATGTATTCCAGCTCTCATGGTCCATAAATGTTGTGCCCAGTGTTCTAAATGCAGCCTAATTAATATGGAATACAGTGGAATTATTATTTCTTTAACCAGTGCCTTTAGGACTACATAATACTTTTTAAAAAAAATAACTGCAATTCACTGCTGACTCATATTCAATTTGTATTCCACTAAAAGCCAAATTGCATATCAATTGTCTGGGAATCAAACATATATATGATTTTTAAATTGTCATTTATGGCTAAGATGTGTATGAACTCTGCCAATTCAAATCCTGTCCACTCGACGGCTCTGATGGGGGAGGCTGCTGCTGCTTCTCCAACCGGCCAACGATGCAGGGAAGTAGGAGGTGGAGGGGCAGCCGGTGCGCAAGATCCGCTGCCTCATTGGGCTGCTGAGGCGGGACTGGCTGCGGCCAGCGAGCAGCCGAGGCAGCTCCAGACCCTCGGCTGCCCTTCCACCTCCTCCTGCATAGTTGGCCGGTCGGAGCAGCAGCAGCAGCCTCCCCCATCAGAGCCGTCGGGCGGACGGGGCCCAGGCCAGGCAAGGGCTTCCTTCCAGCTGTCCCGGGGCCGTCTCCTCCTGTAACCGATGGGGCTCTGTGGTCAGTTTGCCATGATGCAGGACAGTTGGCAGG